ACCCTGTGCCAGGGCCTCCCCATGCTCTGAGTAAAGAATTTTTCAGAATCCAATAGGATCCATTTATTCTGCTACAAGCCCATGGACCTGAAGGATTCATTGTTTCTATCTCTTTTTTAAATAACTGAGAGAAATGGTGGCTTTTGTTACAATTGCCTTTCTATGAATGTCACCTGTCAGTCACATGGACACATACCTGTCCTCTGGCATATKAATAGTCTAAAACAGTCACCAAATATCAGCACAAAGTTATTGATGTAACAAGAATTACCAAGGCAAAGTCYGTAAAAACGTGGTTTGGGTCATTTTGAGGAAAAGAAGAATCATTTTCCCCCCACTATAAATGCAATGCCATGGTTAATGGAGCAGAAAAATCTCCTGAAAACATGCCTTGATTAGCATGACACAGGGCTTGGATTGAATGTTATATATATGCAATACATTTATATTTTTCAAAGTGCAAATAAAACAAAAAACCATTTGAAATTTGAGCCAATAAAGCTGGGTGTGTCTGCAGGAGCACAGCATTAATGACAAACAGTAAAAGCACAACATCACACCATCAATCACATACAGAAAGTTCTTCCCCTTGAAGCAGTTCTTCAATAACAACCATCTCTCCAAACATTCTGTCCTATAAAAACAAAACAAAACAAGTGGCCACTTAGCCTAAACCCTCTCTTCATTCTTTTTTAACCAAAAAAACAATGTATGTGAGAAGTCCCAGCTTGCTTGAATGCCAGTGGGGAAAGCCAATGGAATTTCATTTGGACACAAGAGRGCAACACTGAAATACTCCTTATCAGGCCTGGGAGACAAGGTAAAATTAAAATTTCTTTTGCCCCTTGAAGGGGCAGGGCAGTGGGACTCGAGGCTGGAACAAGAGTTCCATCACATAATCTCCAGGCTCTGCTTGGGGCACACAGGAGGAATGTGAGGAGACCCAGGGAAATCCCTGAGTCCAGTGAAGAAGTTTCTCCCAAAATTACTTGCCTCTTGTAGCTGGAATTTCGACCCCCCAGAGTACAGAACACCAAGACTTGCACTGCCAAGGATGAATGAAGGATTTATGCACCTGCATAATCTCCTGGACGGCTCTGCAGGCCTCCTCCTTGCTGGCTGCAATGGTCACTTCTTTCCTGGCTGCTGGACCCCGYGCCCGCACCACTCGTGCAGGGAAGTCTGAGCTTTAAGGAAAGCAGAGAGGGGGTCAGGTATCTCTRCTGCAGCCAGGAAATCCAGGGAAATCATCTGTTTGATCCCAAATGCCTCCCATGGTCTCTCTTTTCCCCCCAAGGGATTGAAGAATAACACATCAGGAAAACACATTGCCTKTTAGCCCATCCTGTCCCTGAGGCAATAGACTCGGAGCCCTGTGGGAACCAGAAATCTGTGAATTCTGCTGTTGGTTCTGAGCCCAACTCAGTGTATACCCTTGGACAGGTCACTGACCTTTTTAAACACCTCCCAGTTTCTTCCCAGGCTAGTATTTTATTCCTGTCATAGKCTTGGAAAGCTCAACTCCTTGGTGATTTATGGGTTTACAGAACCAGACTACAGGTCATAATCCCATTAAACACTCAGCGAATTCTGCTCAGGGTTGTAGGGTTTGGCTGAGTCAGGTCTGGCACATAAAGGATCTGTTAAATCGTACCACACTGCACCTCCAGTGTTCCCCCACTTACTCTGAAACACAAATGAAATCTAAAAGCAAAAAAAGGACAAAGCGACCCCATGTCAATGAATGTGTTTTAACTTTCCCCAGTCACCCTCTGGCTTATGAGCAACCAAATAAAATGTTTGTTGAAGGCTGATTCTGCACACGAACTTCCTGTTCCCTGAAAGAACCCCTCACTCTCCTTTCCACACTATGATTCCTATAAGGATAAAGAGGCACCTTCCACCTCCCACTGTCCCAGGYTGCTCCCAGCCCCARTGTCCAGCCTGGCCTTGGGCACTCAAAGGGATCCAGGGGCAGCCACAGCTTCTCTRSGCAYCCTGTGCCAGGGCCTGCCCACCCTCCCAGGKMACAATTCCTGCCCAATGTCCCATCTGGCCCTCCCCTCTGGCACTRGGAAGCCATTCCCTGGCTCCTGTCCCTGCAGTCCTTGTCCCCAGTCGCTCTCCAGCTCTCCTGGAGTCCMTTCAGRYCCTAGYAGGGGCTCTGAGCTCTCTCTGGAKCCYTCCCTTCTCCAGGCAGGACATTCCCAGSTCTCCYAYCCTGGCTCTGGAGCAGAGGAGCTCCAACAGCTCCACACTTGCACCTTCATCAGCAGTCTCTAATTACAGACCTCATTAATTCAGCAGCTGCTTGAGCAGAACTACAGCTGAGAAGTCCCCAAGGCCCAGGTGAAGGCCCGTGCTCAGCAGTGGGGCAGAGGAATCCCTGTGCCATCCCATGTACCTGCTGATGAACCTGCAGGCTTCCTGYGGCTCGTGGAAGGCTCTCCAGCGTGCCGTGGGGATCCCGTGGCGCTCCAGGAAGGCTTTGCTGGAGCTGCTGTTGGAGGCCAGCTGGGCTGCCTTGGYGCAGGGCCCCAAGCACCGAACTCCCGCTGCCCTCAGGTCATCCACAATCCCTGAGCCACACAAACAGCATGAGCACCAAGGGGGCTCCTTGGGGACACCGAGCATGGACAAAAGGAAATTCCCACCATCCCTTTGTGACACTTCCCTTTGTCCCAGATAACGTGTTCAGGTCTAAAATGAGGTTGGCAATATCCAGTGGCCTGTCTCAGCCTGTAGTTTTGAGACTCTTTAGCTCTGTACATTCCCAACCTGGATCACAGTTACCCCCCGCCTCCATTTTAAAGCAGAATTCAAGGTGCTGATTTTTTCTGTCAAACTAATTATATGATTTTATATATTATATTTGTATATTCTATTATATTATTATGTTATTTATATATATTTTTCTATCAACTTCAGTTTATTTAATTACTTTATTAACTTACCAGCTGCCAAAAGAGCTTCTGGGCCAACTAAGACAAGCCCAATGTTATGATCTTTGCAGAACTGGATAACAATAGTGTGATTGCTCACCAATACAGCTGAAACAGAAAAAAATAATTAAATGATGACTGTAAAGCCTAAATAAGAGAAAGGAGATGAGAATGTCTTTTTTCCCTCTCCCTAAGAGTGTGAATAAAATCAYGGAACAGCCCACGAAGGGGGAAGTTCAGTATTATTATCAGCGTAATAACAGCAGAGTCCAAAAKGAACAGGAACAACTCCAATTTGCACTGCTGCTTTTAATACACATYGGCTAACTAATTAAATCTATTTTATTTGCTAAGTGTAATCAAGGTATATTTTTAAGAGCTGCTTATCATAACAATAACAACTTTGAAAAATAAGACTGTAAGTTCAGAAAGGAACTCAATTTCAACATCTGAATAAAGATTTACTGAAAGCCAGGGCATGATGCAACTAAATTTAGCAACCTGGGCAGACATAGAGATGTTTCTATTCAGAACTGTGAACTTTGAGCCCTCTCTTCCTGGGTTAAGTTTCACTGGAATTGGTCACTGCTGCAGCACCAATTGCTTAGCCCAGGACTTTACTCCCCACCTTTTTACCTGAATTGGAGATTTTTCCATTGTCAGCTGTCCCTGCATTTCCTGGAGCCACAAACACRTGTTTCACGTGGGGGGACTGGGCCAGCTTCCAGGCCAGGGCGTGCTCTCTGCCTCCACTGCCGATCACCAGCACCCGCTCAGCCATGGCCCCTGGGAAGCAAAGGCAGCCCTTGGAGCACCTCTGACCACAGACCCAGGCCAAGAGGAGCAAAACCAAAACCAGCAGGAATCACATCTCACTGCTGCCATTTATAAGTAATATTGACCCAGTTGGTGTCAGAAAGGTGCTTGTAGGCCATGGGTCATGGTGGTGGTACCAGCAATGCTACTAGATGGACACATTGGTCACATCTGCTTTAAATAGTGTCAACAAATCCACTGGGAATTTTCCCACTTGTTACAGTACAGTCAATATTCATCTCTTAAGCACCCACAGGCATGAAATAATCTTGCCTTGAGTAGGTCTCATTGGGTCCTTTGCAAAATTATACAGGACAGAACTAAAAGTGTCATACAAATACTCTAAAACTATGGTTTTATATATTTTGTATGTTGTATATGTATTTATTTATATAYRAATATAAATATACAATAAAAATAATAATCAAATGTAGAACACAGAACTAAGTAATGAATAACTATATAATGAATAAATATTAAAAAAGAAGTAGTTGTCCAACTCCTTTTCATATTTTRTAAATATATTTCAGTCTGAGTGCTGTGGTCAGTCTAGAAGCTTTTAAGAGTGCAAACACTGTTGGCAGTAAATGGCAAAGGCAGATTTCARGACAGACTTTCTACTCTGGCAATTGCTAAGAGGACGCTTCAGCAGAGCAGCACATTCAATAAAAAGACAGCTGTTCATCTCACTGGCACACTGACATTTCAAGCAGCTCCTCAGCCATATTTCTTGGAAGATTAGTTTGGATTTATTTCAGAAATGCTACCATAGGTCACATCTGCAAATTTAATGTCTCCGTATGTGCCAAATGTGGACAAATGTCAGAGAAAAAATCTACCCCAAAACATGACCTTTAAGGGAGGTGCTAATGGAGCAGCCAGTCCTTCCCCAGGAGAGAGGTCATAAATTAAAGATACCACAGACACCAGCAAGTTCTGCTGCATTCTCCTGAGGAATCACAACCACCAGGGTTTAATTCATTGCACAGTTTCCAAAGGCAAATGGGAGCTAAATGGTGACACTGAGGCATAACATTCCTGGCAAGACGTTCACAGAACTGTGATACATCAAGAATCATGCTTRGTATGAGACAGGATTCACCACCTTAACCACTGCAAAATTGAATTTCACTCTCTCTGTTCCATGATTCTTGAATTGCCCAAGTACAATGTCAGGAATTCTCACAGCCCAGCCCTGGGAACTACAGAATTTTGTGAGTTATTTGATTTTAAATTTTAGCTGTTGTGCTCTAGGTGTACAAACACAGAGGACGYGCTTAATGCTCTACCAGGGACGGTCTGATTTCTTTGCATAAGACTTTTCTTAGTCTTTATGCTGGATAACAATCCAGAGTGTCAGGCTTTGTCCTTGCTTTTGTCACTGCCTGACAAATAATTGCTGGAAGAGGCTGTAAATGTGAAGATAGTGAGTTACAGCTGCTCTGTCTCTTAAAAAGGCACCAAAGTTCTCTGCAAGGCTCCAATRTGGTGCAACAGTTATCAATAAAAAGGAAAGTGAGTTTAAAAGCAGTTACACACACACATACCGCCAATAGTCTCAGAATTCCATTAAGTTTTCTAAAGCAGAATGAATTAAAGTTCCGAACTGGGAAGAAAGTCAAAACGAGCAGCACCTCCAGCCCTTTGGGAAAAAGTCACTTTTCCATTCCACCTTCCAAAGAGGACACTAAGGATGTTTTTTGCAAAGCCAAGCAAAAGCGAGCTGGGAGAGAGGAAATTTGTGAGCCAGTTGGTGCAGGAGGGAAGGCTGAAGAGAGGGATAGAACGTGCTGGAGGAAAGGAGAGCTGGAAGGACAGTTGGTCCTGGAAGAAACATTGTGGAGAGGGATGCCTCGCTGGAATTATTTTCCCTTACCGTGTCAGACCCTGCTGCTTGTCCACACAAGAGGCTAAGGAGTCCTCCAGAAGGATCTTCCTCCAGTTCCTGCTTCAGTTCCAAATTATTTCTGATCTCCTACAGGCAAGAATRAGAGAGTGAAAGAGGCAGCCAGAGCTGCAGCTGCCCTGTCCCCTGTGATCCTCCACTCCCCACAGAGCATCCCCAGCGGCATCCCCTCAGTGCCTCCCACCTTTCAAGCCCCCCCCACACCCTCAGCACCGGGGATCCTCCTCCTCTCTCTCCATCTCCCTTCAGTAACACCACAAAYAGCTCCTCCCAACGGCCCCTGACCATGGAAATAGAATTCAACACTAGGGAAAACCCCAGCTACAGTGTGTCACAGAGCTGAGCTCCTCTCTCAGATCCCAGGCAAGAGCAGCTTTCTATCCCCTGCCAGGGGAAGGATCTCAGAGACAAAGCACAACTCGTGAGGTGTCCAGCTCTGCAGAAATGCTCCAGTCAAACCTGCACACRTAGACCTGCTCTTTCTCACACTGCACAGCTGAAAATGTATAAATAAAGGTTATTTTACTGTCCAGCACACACTGGAAATATGCCCCCTCCTTCATTACAGCCCGTTTCACCTTTACAAATTCAATGCAAGCATTGCCAGAGGTACAAAGCATGTGAGAACTTTGGCTGTGTTCTCCAGTACTTCCTACTCCATCATCTTGGACAGCCAAATCCATCCAGGATAGACTCTGGATTCCTCTGGCTAACATCTGGCAAGCTGCAATGTTCCCAGTCTTTCCTTCTCTCTGGTGAACAGGGACAKCCCCAGGGGGCGGCTRGAGCTGGGCCAGGGCAGGCTSAGGCTGGAGAGCAGGGAAAGGTTCTTCTGTCCCCAGAGGGTGCTGGCACTGCCCAGGCTCCCCAGGGAACGGGCACGGCCCCGAGGCTGCCAGAGCTCCAGGAGCGTTTGGACAGCGCTGCCAGGGATGCACAGGCTGGGATTGCTGGGGGGGCTGGATAGGGACAGGGGTGGCACCGGGTGACCCTGGGGGTCCCTTCCTGCTCAGTATATTCCAGGATTCCCTGATTATTTGTGCTGCCAGCACCCACCTTGCCCCCGAGGGGGACCAGGCACAAACAAGCACAATTGGGAAAAGCAGCACCTTTTATTATCATGTTGTGATCACCCATCAGGGAAAGGAAGCACCAAAGAACTGCAAATGCTCAGCGGCAAAAGGAATGATAAAAGCCAGAGCATTCACAAAACCCCCAGAAATTTCTGTTAAACACTTCCTTTTATTTTTATTAATAATTACTATTTCRTTAATTTTATTTATTACTACACAACTGCTACTTTAGTCCCTGACCTGCAATAAAAACACATGGCAGTGAGTTTGGGATAAGGGGAAAGAGAAGGGACAAAGGAAGAGATGAATTAAAGAGRAGGGAGAGAGGGAGAGGGGAGAGTGAGACAGAGAGGAAGGAAAAGAGAGGGAAAAAGAGATCATCACTCCCTGTTTTCCAATGTGGTTCCAGATGATGGGATGTCACTCCTGGTTCCAGTGTGGTTCCAGATGAGGGGAT